AAACCCTAGCACCTACTTCACAGCATATCCCTAGTACTTATAGTATACCTCTGCTTTGTCTTCAGACTCCCAATCCAAATAGCCCAGTAGGACTGTGACCTGTCCTTGGTATATCGAGTCGGCCCAATATCCTTTTCTTCTGGTTCAGTTCTGGTGGCCTGGTTGGTGGTACCCCTTACCTGAGGTCTTTGTTTAATTTTAATTTTAGTTTAATCTAATTCTAATTAAAAGTTTTATTTTTTATAAAAAAGATTGTTCTAATTTATATTATATTAATTATATATTTATATATAAAATAATATTATAGTTCTATAGCATTATCATAATATTTCCAATTATTATATATTGTAATGCTGCAAATAATTGCTTACTTAAAAATTCCTATTTATAGGATATTCCAAATTGGTTTGCATAATATTAAATGATACTACTATTACAAAAGAAGGTGTGAATTTGAATTATCTATTATATACAAATATTTTTACTTTATATATTATTTATATATTTACTAATTCTGCTAATGATATTAATTATTTTATATATGCTACTTATGCTTATTATGCTAAATTTATTGTATATACAACTTCTACTAAATCTACTAACTATGCTACATTTACTAAATAATTATGTAATTGATCTCTTTTAGGTTTAATGCATTGTTGATTAATTTCTAATTATTACAATATTAAAATTAAAAATATATTAAATAAATAAATATTATTTTATAATAATAGGTTATTATAATAATTTTATATAATTGGTTAATCAAAATTAAGCATATAGAAAAGAGTAAAAGTCTGCAAATTGTTTATTTTTAAGACTTAGTCTAGTTTGTATTTAGTATTAAATTTTTTTTGTTAGTTTAGTTCACAAAATTTCTTATATAATTTTACAACTTTTTTGACTTAGTCTGATTTATAATTATAAAATTTTGTTTTAGAACTGATCTGGTTTGCAAAAATTTGTAGGCCAAATCAAGTTGCAAGACTTAATGCAGATCTTTAAGAAGGAGTTAATAGAAAAAGAACAAATTATTTTTAGTAATTTTTTTTAATTTTTAAATTAAAATAATTATTTAATTAAATTTACTAAAGTTTTATTTTAATTTTAAAATTATATAGAATTAAAATAAAAAAATTTATTAAATTTAATAAAACAGTTGTTAAGATATTTAAACTTAAAGTTAAAATTTTATTTAGAAAAAATTTGTTTTTTTATTATTAATTTACTCTTATATAACTATATAATAAATTATTTACTATTGATCAACTAAAATTAGTTACAAATTTTCTAAATTTTATAATAAAAAATAAAAAATAAATTTTATTAATTTTAAATATAATTGGCTGCTATATATAAAATAACTATAGTAATAGGTTGCTATTTATAATTTTTCCAAATAAAATTTATTAAATATATAAAAAATTAAACTTATTTACTTTTATATATTTATTAATTAAATAATAAAATTAAATCAGAATTTGTTTATATTTTTTTAAAAAAATTTTTTTAATAAAAACTTTTTAAAAATTTTTATTATAAAAAAAAATTTATACTAATTTTTTACAAAATAATTTGTCTAAAGAATATTCAAATATTTTTAAATTATTAAAAACATTAATATAATATAATTTTTTTAAAAAAATTAAAATATTTACAAATTCAAATATAATAAACTTAATTAAATTTTTTTTATTTATAAATTTATTAAATTTTATATTTGAATACATGAGAGTAAAAATCTGGAAACCGATTATAGTAAATCATTAACTCAGTTTTCAGATTTTTACTTTCATGCACTTATTTGAAGTATTATAGTATATTAACAGTAATTTTTTTTTTGGTGTTAAGATGAGGCCTTGCTTATATCTTTATTAGTAATTTTAGTTGTATATATTAATATACTATATATTAAGATATATTAAGATTGTATAAACAAAATAAAAACTACATGCAAGAATTGAAGCTCAGACTATTTTATTTGTGACCTAAACCAAATATTAACAGTAATTAGAAAAACTGTTTAATCAATATAATATGCAAAAATTGCATATTTAGTTTTTTAGTTTAAATAATTATATTTAAGAAATTTTACAAAATATATTGCATCTCTAATGTAAGGTGACTTCTTTGAGGCCTTGGTTGCAAGTTCTTATGTCCAAATTACTGAATAAAACCTTAGTTTCAAAAGAGGCTAGTTTAATATTCAAAAAAAACAAAAAACAAAATATATTGCAAAATGTTTAATATAATACTTAAAATTTAAAATTAATAAATAATAAAAAATAGTAAGGTTTTTAAAGAAGAAAAAATATATAAAATTCTTAATAACTTTCTTACTTAAAAATATAAAAATTAATTTAAATATGAATTTTTTTTAAATTAAATATATAATTTTATAAATATAATAGTAATATAATAATGTTTAAATTTTTTTTAAAACAATATTAAATTAGATATTTTTATAACAAATATTTAATTTTCAAATCTAAATAATTTGTTATAAAATATATTACATTTAATATAATTATTTTTAACATTATTATTAACAATAAATTCTTATATTTATTATTACTGTTTTGTTACAATTTAAATAATTATATTTCATTATATATACAGTCAAACTCCTTTATATTTACACTCATTATAAGTACATTATATAAAAACCTCTTTATAGACATGTTTATTTAAAAAAAAATTTTATATAAACATATTAAAAACCCTTTTTATAAGTACATCTTAGTAAGAATCTTTTTATAAATATATAAATATTCAGTGTTTGATAAATTTTATTAAATCGATCATTTGACAAGTTGTTATTATAGATAAAATTTTAGATTTATCCTAAGAAGTGTGATTATAAAAAAATATAATTATAGAAAGATTTGATTGTATATAATAAATTTATTAGTTTTTAAAAAATATGTAATTTTGAACATTGTCTTTATATAAAAGTTCCTTCTATAAAGAAAATTTGCTTATTAAATTTTAAATTTGTTAGATACTAATGTTAAAGAATAAATGAAGTATCGATCTAAATTATTATCTCCTCATACAACATAAAATCTATTATGTAACTAAATTTGTGAAGTTCGTACCCATGAAAAAAAAGTTATTTTGTTAGCAAAACAAAAATTTTAATGTTTTACGATGTAAAGACATTTTATTTAATACTATTCTTTTGTATAATTAAAAACAGAATTAGATATTAAGCGAGAAATTAAGAGATATTGTTTATAATATTAAAATAGTAAATTTCGATCAAAAAATTTTTTATCGTTATTATGAAAAATCTCGATTAGTGATCGTCACTATATCACCTGTAATTAGACTGATGTTGTACATCCCAGTCACTAACCACAATATCCCTTACTGAAATACCCCATGAAAAAGATCCGAGTACAGAGAAATGAAAATGACTCGGGTATTATTCTATATATATATATATATATATATATATTATTTTATGCTTTTCAAACTATATAATTTTAACAAATATTAAAAACGATCACTATTTAAAATGAGACTTAACGGTTTCTTATACGTACGTACGTAATACTATAGTTACTATAGTCAATAAGATTATCTTTTTTAATATATACGTACTTATATAGCAATAATGAATATGTTAAAATTTATTATTATTAATTATTTACATTATACATTATAGTATGCATATTGGCGTTACTCAATATCGTGATAATGTTCTATGTAATTGACAAATGATGAAAATTATGACAAAATTGATCCTTGATTAACATGGTCATAGAAAAACGCCAACAGACTTCTTTATTATTGTGTAAGTGGGAATGGAATTTAATTGGAATTTCCTAGTTAAATCGGGGTTAAGGTTAGGGTGTATATATGACAATATCAACCCCAAAATGCGGGTTTTATATAAAAATTCCGAATTCACTTAAATTTCGTTTCTACTTACAACATTATACGTAAAGGATCAGACTTTTATTTTATTTTTTTTAAAAAAAATAATATATATATTAAAATTCACTATCGTTATCGTTGGCAAATATTTGGTCTATGTACGATATGTTGTTATAAGATTTTGTTATATGACAGCCAGTCTGACATCCTGTCCTATTGATATCGCGCTATTCTCTCTAGTTGCCTTGAATATAAAACGTAATTGCTCTTTATCTTTTCGTTATTGTTTATTTACCTCTTGGTTCGCGATCACGTGATAACCGTTTTATACCTTGGCATAGAAAAAGAAAAATGGTAACAGGGCAAAGCAGCATAATTGCAGGCCATAGGCCTACTGATGTCAACCCAGAAGATCCTTTGACGCTCGTAATAGTACAGGTAACCTGTTCTTACTATGATAAATTACTTTTTTGTTTTCCTAAATTTTTAACGTTGGCTTCCTTTTCCGTTTCGTGTAACAGATCGTCCTCATAGTGATTTTCACTCGTGTTCTCAACCTTGCGCTTTCGCGTTTTCGTCAACCTCGCGTCATATCTGAAGTTATAGGCGGTATTATCCTGGGTCCTTCGGTCATGGGTCGCATCCCAGGATTCAAGGAAGTTATATTCCCTGATCCGTCTTTAACTTACCTTAATTTACTTGCCAATTTGGGTTTGATCCTCTTTTTATTTATTATTGGCGTTGAATTAAATCCTATAATGTTGATCAGAAACGCGAAAACTGCTGTTACTATTTCTGCTGCTGGTATCATTCTGCCTTTCTCTCTTGGTATCGGTGTTAGTTACGGATTGTATCAAGCTATGAACAATAGTGAATATAACGTACCTTTTTCAAGCTTCATGCTTTTCATATGTGTTGCTATGTCAATTACGGTACGCTTGGAATTTCTCTTTTTACCCCCCGTACATCTGCCTTCAAAGATTAATCTTTTGATTTTCAGGCATTTCCTGTGCTTGCCCGCATCTTGTCCGAACTTAAACTTCTTAGGACGCCGGTGTACTGATCATTAGATTCATAAAATTTATTTAATTCGTCATTATCATTTTTATTTCTAACCTTATTTTTCTTTTTTTTCCTCCCCTAAAGTGGAATCACTGCTCTTACTTCCGCTGTCGGTGATGACATTGCGGCTTGGGTACTTCTTGCCTTAGTAGTTTCAATCATAAATGCCACAAATCTCCTTTCTGCTCTTTACACTTTCTTGCTTTGCGCTGCTTGGACTTTGTTCGTGGGATTGGCCATTCGTCCAATTTTATTGATACTTATTCTCAAGACTGGCAGGTTTGATTAAATTTTTTTTGTTCTGTGTTTATTCTGATGTTTTTTTTTCATCTTTTTTCTTTATCAAAAAATATATACATATATATATATCTATTTTTAAATAACTTAGTAATGATTTTGGTGGTCCATCAGTAACAATGGTGGCAATTACATTAGTGCTCGTTTTAGTATCCGCCTTTGTCACAAACATCATTGGAGTTCATTACATTTTTGTATGGTCTACATTTTTCATTCTATTCTTATGATCGTTATTAAAGTTTAAATTCTAAAAATAATTTTAAAAATGATTCTAAAATTAGGGCGCTTTTATTATTGGCGTGATCGTACCACATGAAAGCGGTTTCGCGATAGGCATAGCTGAAAAAATTGAGGATCTGGTCAGCGTCTTGTTTTTGCCAATTGTACGTGTTTTTTTTTTTTTACAATCTTACGCGTTTATCTTTATATGCGCTAAATTTATTTAATTTATTTAATTAATTTATTTAATATAGTATTTTGCACTTTCCGGTCTTAAAACTCAACTTGGTTTATTGAGTGATATTCATATATGGAGCTGGCTTCTCATAGTAATTTGTGTCGATATGTTTGGGAAAATTACTGGTGCAACACTCGCATCTAGATTAAATAAACTTACCTGGAGAGAATCTCTTACTATCGGTGTTTTCATGAGTTGTAAAGGGTTATTTTCTCTTCAAATTATTTTTATACCTTTTGATAACTCATTTTTTACTCGCTTTATTTATAAATGTTGTCACTTTCCTTTTTTTTAAAAGTTTGGTTGAGTTGATCGTACTTAATATTGGCTATGATGCCCGAGTGATCAACGACAAAGTCTTTGCAATTATGGTGACTGTGTATGTATACTATATATATATATTTTTTTTTTTATTCACACATATATATATATAATTTTTTTAATTTGATTTTGGTTTATAGTGCCCTTATAATCACATGTACCACGACTCCTTTGGCAATGTGGCTTTATCCAAAAGAATATAGAAAAGCATTGGAACGTTCGCGAGCTGGTCAAGTTACAACTTCGATTGAAGGTCCTTCTTGGAAAGAATCTCGTGCTTCTGATGATACACTTATCGATTTATCAAGAAATAAACGTTTATTGGTTGTATTAAATAAAATTGAATGGCTACCGGGTATGATGATGTTATTACAATTATTACAACCACTTCCTTTATATGCTACTAAATCTATTATAAGGAATAGTGATGTTATTCCTGATAGATCTTCTACTAGACCAATTTATGATTCAAATAATAATAATAATAATAATGATCCTCTCACCGTTCATGCTTTACGTCTCGTCGAACTTACTCAACGTATTTCCGCCGTGATGAAATTTAATGAAACTGAAGAAACTTTATTACATGATCCAATCATGAACGTTTTTAGAATGTTTGGTCAATTAAACTTTGTTAATATTAAGGCTAATCTTACTATTGTGGCTCGTCATGATTTTGTTAAAGAAGTCGCTGAAAATGCAAGAAAAACTAATTCTGATCTTGTTATAATCCCTTGGGATGGTGCTGGTGCTGTAATGAATGATTCTGATTCTTTTGATGAAATTATTGGTCCTCGTGGAAGATTACTTAAAGCTCGTGAACGAAAAGAGACTAGTCCTCAAATTTCAAATTTTGTTCAAGGTGTTTTTAATGACATTCATATCAATGTTGGCTCTTTTGTTGACAGAGGTTTCGGTGTTAAATCTACTCAAGGTGGCGACCAAAGTTTAGCAATTCATGTATTTCTACCTTTTTTTGGTAGTATAGATGATAGAGAAGCTTTGATATTTGTTGTTAGATTATTGGACCATCCTCAAGTCACTGTATCTGTAGTTAGAATAAGAACTGAAAATGATTCATCTGATTCTCATGAAAGAAATATTGCTACTAGTTCTCATATCGATTCTGATAATGAGAATTTAAATGTCGATAGTTCTGATAAATTATCTCCTAGACGACCTCCTTTGGCTCATACTAAATCTGCTTCTTCTGTTCAAGTATTAACTCAAGGTGATAAGAAAGAACCTGAATCAATTGATAGTTCCTTATTGGCTCATTATTTTAGTGTGAAAAATGGTACATTAACTAATAACGATCGTATATGTTATACTGAAGTTGTATCAAGAACTCCATTAGAAACTGCTATTGGTCTTGCAAAAGAAAAGGTTAATAATAGTAAAGATTTAGTTGTATTGGGTCGTCGTAGAGCTGCACCACAAATTTATCGAACTGAATTCATGAATATGGGTAAAAGTTACGGTAGTGAAACTCGTAAATGTTTGGGTATTGTTGCTGAAGCATTTATGGTTAGTGAAGTAGAAGCAAGTATTCTTGTTTTACAAGGAAAAAATGATGTGAGAAAAACTGTTGCTATCTAATAATTGGTTGGGATTTATTATCATGGGTTATGTTTAAAATGTTTTTTTTTTAGAATTGGTTTTAAATTTGTTTTTTTTTTTTTTTGAGCAGGGTAACATATATATATATATTTTGTAAAAGGGTTTTTAGCGTTAAACGCAAATAGTAGTTTTTTGTAATATATACATACAATTTGGGTTTGATAACTTTGTTATAAATGTTATTTAGCATTTATTTTTAATTTGTAAATTTAACAAATCGGTAAATTGTTTTACTTATTTGCTATATCTCAAAAACTAGCTAAATAACCAACACTAGATATAAGTGAAAATGCAATTAGTCTATTAAAAGGATTAAAAGGATTACGGATTAGTATCAATACACTGATTTAAATAATTGAATATAGCATTTTGCATTTAGAATATCTTTAGCAAATTCAGAGCGTAATCCTTTACATATTTTAATAGCTAACGTTTCATCATACTCAACATAGTAATGAGGAAATCTTTTCATAGACATCTTATAGTGCAGGACGCTTTTAACTAGCAAGTAAAAACAAATAAATTTTTTTTAAATATAGCTAAGAGCAAAAAATTTATTATATATAAATATACAATAAAACAAAGTTACAAAATTTATTTTTTGATTTAATAAGTTTTGATAATGCTGTTGTCTTTTAAAATTATTAATAAAATTTGACCATTTATACATAAAAACAATATTTTTTAAAACTACAATAATAATAAATTTTAAAAATATAATAGAATTTGAAGAAAATAACCAATAAAAATTTGACATTTTGTCTTTAAATTTGGTCACTTTTTTAAAAAAAGTTGGTGCCTGCATTGTTGTCATAATAATACCAAAGCTACAAAATATTAGCTACTATTGCATATAGTTGTTTAATACTTCTGGTGCAATGTAGTGTAAAACGTTATAATACCATCATCTGAATTAGGTTCGTTCTTTCTAGATAATCCTATATTTATAGATATTAGATTATCCCTATAAAATCAGGAGTTCGCAATCCGGCTCGTGCTGAAATCACTCTTTTTAATAATAAGTTTTTGTTGAAATTATTTGATAGTAAAATTGATGAAATTATATTAAAATTAATTTAAATTATATCAAAAATTAATTAAAGCTAAATCAATACTAAAGTTGTTTTTATAGAATATTAAATTATTGTTGAGATTATTGAAGTTAAAAAAAAAAATTGAAAATAAATTTCACCTCCAACTAGAGGCGCATGAAAGCTCGGGCATGGGTATGAACATAGGAATAAAAATTTGGCACAGGCATGAGTAGTGATACGTATCAGCATGAAATTGGTCAATTTTTATATAATAACTAACTCTAATTTCTTAGTAGTACTTTGTATCCGTATCTATAATTAGTAGCTGCACGAGGTAATCGCGCTTAAACCAGGAACATAATGGCTAGACTTGTATTAAGAATCCAAATGTAGTGACGAACCGCCTTACTTATAAGAGATCTTTTGAATAGTGATCTGTGAGTTCCTTGCATAAAATACAGGATTGTAATGAAAGAATCTTTTGCAGTATGGGTGATTCCTTTAATAAAATATTAATTGTAGCGGCTGAAGCTGTGATTGTGGGGTCTCTATTTAAATCTATAATACCTACTAAAATTCACTTGTACTCTTTTATTAATAAAAAAACTACCTCTAAATCTAACCTAATTCTAAGTTAAAAAAAAAAGACAAAATTTTTGAAATTTAATATTGAAATATTTCAAAATCTCAGCTTCAGCTGTTACATTAATTGTTATAAAGTTGGGTCACCTATGCCTATAAACGTGTACATAGATAGCTATGTGGCAAATTACTAATGTAGAAGTTTTAATAATTTTAGCATAGTTTTAAATTTTAACTAGCATTAGAAAAAATAAAGCTGTTCCTAAGTAACCTAAATAGAAAATGAATGGACATAAATCTCGAGCATGTTTAAGACCTAAAATTATGACATATTCGAGGCCTTGTTAGCAACAAAATGGTGATCCTATATTATATTATTTTTTAAAATATAACAAAATTTTTTTGCATCATAAATGTGTCTGAGCATATAAATATGTCTTCTAATAACTGAAGATTTCTATATAGCGAAGGATAAAGTCAGAATGTGGACTTCGCTATATCGAGCTTTAACTGCAAATCATTTAAATAGTAAATAAATTGTAAAGAAACTTTTGAAAATATATTAAGAATTCATGTGTTCTTACAATAAGAGAAAAATGGCTTAAAAACTAATGAATCTAATTTGTACTATACACATTCCGAAAATTATAAAACTTGGAAAAAGTGAAACATTTTCCAAGCGTATAGAATGAATGAAATAGACAGTGCTGGTAATTGGACAATTGGAAAATCAAATTAACCAATAGTATGAGATGATTACAGCTGTTTTCAAAAAGGTGTGAACAACGATTCCCATATGCCTGTGTGGGAATCGAAGAATAGGGAAATTCTGATTAGTAAAAATTGAATGTCCGATTAGCACTGGCTTTGAAAATTCCGGAAATCTGGGAAATTTCGTGAATTTCCCGAGATATGGTGATCTGCGTCTGTTCACACCTTTTTGAAAACAGCTATAATTGGCCAACCAATGATATTCATTAGTTGATTGTCCAATTATCCAATTGCCAACACTTGCTTCCTACTATATAGCGAAAATTAAAACCATTTTTAGGACTGTTACCTAAACTACAATTGATACAATTCAATTAGGTATTATAAACTTATTCACCGCACTTTCCAAAGACAAATCAATCTAAAAATTTTTATAATAAATTTCGTTAAAATATCCAAACTGTCTTGAAAATCAAAAAATAAGATTTTCTAAAATTCGGGTAAATTTTGCCGTGGAAATCGATTGACATAAACAATTTCTTAGGTGACTTGAACCAAGGCCAATTTTTTAAGTGCGTTAATATTCGATTTATTAGCATAACTAAGAACTTGATTCATTTGCTTCATTTTGGAAAATAGGAATTCATCGCTCTGGAGATCATATTCGATGGGGCGTAACAATCCGAAATCAAGTTCTAGCTCTTGGTAATCGCAAAGAACGTTTATCATGGCCAAGCAAACATCCAAATTAGCGGTTGCTCCGTTTTTGCAGTATGCTCTCAATACCCCGACCATGTCTCGGGCTTTCGCTTTATTGACGTATCCATTTTTTAAGAAGCTCAGACTCCATGTAGTCTTGACTAAGCTCAAGGCTATCGACATCGATAAATGATCAAATGCTAGTCAATTTAGGGAATGTAAAGACACTCTTATTTCTACATGGAAAGGAAGTCCTGGAAATCAAAACAAGGTGTTGCGCGTAATAAGTTTTGATTATGTCAAGCGAGAATTCATTGTGACTGGTGCTTTCAAAGAAATTAAGCCAAAACAGTGAATTTTCTACGTTCTGGTGGCACGTCCCAAATTCATCATTTTCGGGCATGTAAGTGAAATCTCCGTTGTCATGATGAATAATGGTGTAGATATCAGAGTAGGCGGAACTGTTTTTCCGGTAACTTTGAAGTTCAGTGGGGCACATAAGTGTAGCATAAATACGTTGAACGGTAGGATTTCTGGTGAAGAACTCATCAACTTGGTTCACACTGAGGTAGTGTAAGGCGTCGTGAATAAAAACTGACGGCATAATTAATCGTTGATGGAATTGAATTTTTTTGGTTGTTGATCATGATAGCGAGCAGTGTCTTCTGCGGTCAGAACAGGGTTACATACGCTCACATTAATATTCCGATCAGAGAATAGTCCACTCAATTCACGCATCACTTTCACTGGTTTACAGAAGATCGCAGTAAAATCTTTGATGGTATGCGCCAATTGTGCAGCATGACATTCTCCAAATTTTATGCAATGGGTGTGAGTGTTGGGCGCACGAAAACTCACTCTAATTGATACCCACTTTAAGTAGATACTTGATGAGGTCCTTATATATAGTGTTCCGAGTTGATAAAATTTTTGCCAATCTATTAGTTACAATTTTTCATATGACTAAATTTGTTGATTAGCCATGTCGATATCTCGGAATTGACATGAGTCCGTTTGAATAGAACAACTACTAAAATGTTCGTCTCATTGAGACGAACATTATAGTAGTTGTTTTTTCCATTTAAAACGGAATGGTAGATCAAAAATTATTCAAAATTAAGAAAATCCAAAAATCAGCCCATATGAACGGATAGGATATGCTTTATTTCATTTTGTAGACACAACATTTCACCGACAATCAATTCACCGACATGTTTATTTCACCGACAAGTTCATTTTACTGACAGTTTATTTCACCGACAAATCATATAAATTACACTAACCTAAATAAACATGTCGGTCGAAGAAATTTTATGTCTACGAAAATGAGTATCGATGAAGTTAGCTGAGCCGCATATGGACTAGTTGATTAATCCCATATAAGCATCTCCTAAATAAACATACTATATACTATTAAATATATCTCTTTATAAGCACTCTTATGTGTATCTTCTATGTAAAACGCACTTTATGAGTCCCGATGGTGTGATTATATTGATATGGGAGTGCAACTATAGTTGGAAGTTGATTTTTCAACTAATGGTTTGGATCATTTGTTAGTCCATAAAACATCAAATGTCCCGGATAAGTCCAAACACAATATATTTGATTGTCTCAAATAGAGATCCATCCAAATATCCGAATTCTTCATACGTAATAACGGTCAAGTGTAAAATAGTATGATCTATGTTTTATAAAAAAAAAAGTGAACTTTCTTCTTAATTAACATTTATATTTTACATCTTAATTAGTCTTCTTTATACGTATATAGCAAATGCTTTTTATTATCGCAAACTCCAATTTGGATTATTTTTTTAATTCCTGCTCTGAAAATCTTCAAAGTATTTTTTTAAAAAAATTGGTTTACATACTCTTTTTTCTTTTGTTAATTGGTAATATATTAGTTAGTTAAGTATAGTTTTATATTGTTATAGGTGAAAGTTTTAATTTTTACACTATAGCAATGACACAGCACAGAGAATCTTATGAGTATATGCGGTGTTCAAGAGGGAAGTATAGTTTCTATTAGATATTGTCAAGAAACTATACTCTTCTCTGAGGCAGTTTGGGAAAGGTAATGCAATACTAATAATTTTACTTTATTTTACTAAGAGAAGATAAACTTTGTTCATAGAAATTATTCTAGAAGGAAAGTATCAATATAATTTATAATCAAAAGTTGTTTATTAAAGTAATAACAAGAAGGGTTATTTTTAGGTTTTTATTATTAAAAAATCTTAAAATATGTTTATAATATTAAAAAAAAGAGGAATATCTTTTACTTAATCAGACTTGAAGAATTTAGCAGAGTTTATATATTTATAAACTAGGTAGCTAAGCAATTAAGTAATTAAGTGACTAAGCAATTAAGTAACTAAACATTAAGTAACTAAGTAATTAAATGATTAAATGATTGAATAATTACTAAGTAACTAGAAGATCCTAGCAATTAGTAACTAATAATTACTAAATAACTAATTACTAAATGACTAAGTATTTAAGCAACTAAGTAACTATGCAATCAAGTAACTAAGTAACTAAATGATTAAATAATTACTAAGTAACCAAAAAGTTCTAGTAATTACTACTAATAACTAGAAAAACAAATGTTGTTAGTGTCTGAAGCTTTTAATTTTACAAAATTTTTTATTTTGTTGAGCTGATTAGTATTGATCTATTATATTAATTTAAACTCTGATTAGATATATATCATGTAAGCAGAATTCAAGACATTTTGTATATTTATATCTCTATTATAAATTCTTGTTATACTTCAAACAATAATAATATAATAATAATAAGAATAACTAATATTTTTTTTGATATTAAGGTAAGGTCATGATCTTTAGTCTTTATTAGTATATTTATTTAAGCTAATACAATTCTATTTATATATCATCTATTACTATATATCTATTCTGACATAGGACTCATACATATTTATCTACAAACTAAATCTATCAGTTTTGAATTGTATCTTATTCATATCTAACCTGGATTTTTATTTCATTACTAATTATATTAGATAATCTGTATATTTCTTCTATGTCTTCTAACCTATTATTAATAATTTTCAAATTAGTTTATTGGATTATTCACTTCTTTTAAGCTTCTATTTTTGGTTTGCCTGAAGAGTATCTTTTTAGCATATACTGTATCTCAAGCTAGGACTTTGTTGTCATTGCTAACTTTTCAATTCAGATACTGATAGCATATATCTTAAGCCAGGTTCTATTGTTATTGCTGGTTTGCAACTTTTCTTGATCTTAGTATCATTTTTCTGACAAATTGTGTATTTAATTTGTCTCTTAAGTACTTCTTTTTATAGTATAAATGGAATTGTATTTTGAAAATAGGTAAATATTCTCTTTTAGTCATTAGTTAATATTTCTATCTACTATAATAACTAATATTAAGAATAATAATAAAATAATAATAATAATAAATAATAATAATAATAATAAAATATAAGTCATATATATGCACTTATCAATGATTCCTCACACCAACTTTTTTCAAAAAGCCTGACTTACAGAAACTATATAGTTATTATATTTAAATATAACAAAACTCTACTTTGAGGTAATTAGAAAACTATTTACTACATATTAGTTGTAATTAAAAAGAACTAAAAAAGACTTAAACCCTTGTAAGTGAAATTCTTTGATAAAAAACATAAATACTACCAAGTAAAAAAATAGTAGATAAGCTCTAAAATTTTGTCAAGTATTATAAAAATTTAGGTTTAAATAGTTACTTGCTTTAATATTATATTCTATATAGCATAACTCTTACAACTTCTTTTCAAGTTGGTTTTCTTTCTGCCCTCACTACTGGATTTTTCTCTTGAAATTTTTACCAAAAAGTAGAAAATCTGACATATTCTCTTCAAAGGAGCGATACTGTTTATCTTTCCAAATCATTAATGTTAGTTATAAAAAAATTATGATACAAGTATCTGACCTATGATGGATGACATGTGTCAAACTCAAGAGGAAAATAAAAACTTTAACTATTTTCTTTACACAACAAATAGAATATATTATATCATGGATTTGGAGCTACCCTTAGTCAATTAGATAGAAATAGAAAGAAACACCCTGTAGCCTATGCTAGTAAAAGCTTGACCAAAGGAGAAGTTAATTATGGTGCCACTGAACTCAAATGTGTTGCAATTGTATGGGCTATCAAACATTTTCATAAATATCTTGGAACTACCAAGTTTATCTTAATTACTGACCACTCTGTCCTTAAGTAGTTACAATCCACTGAACCTAAAGGACGCTTAGGAAGATGGATTCTAAAACTCCAGCCCTATAACTTTGAAATTATTCATAAACCAGGAAGAGTTCACTCCAACGTAGATGCCCTATC